CGATTTATGTCTATAGTTTATTTTTTGTTTCTCTACGATTTCAATTTAATTGTAGCCTTCATCCCCTTTTGCCAGAAATTAAAAACACCGATGCTTGAAATATCGAATGACTATTTCATTTGATTACTATCGATGAGATACGTATCAATATTTCAACCAATATCATTAAGTGGAGCATGGTGAACTTACGCATTCCTCCTTTCTACTAATGTTGGAACAGGAATGGGTTGATTTAAATCACTAACTCGTTTTTCCATACACAATAATGATTTTGTGATATTTTACTATGCAGTTGCACCAAGTGACTTAATAAAATTAAAGAAATAACTATAGCAAAATAGTAATATCACCCGACATAATACATAGCCGAATACGAATTGCATAACCTTATTTTATAAGAGGGTTTACCAACATCAAGTCGAATATCTTCAGGCGATTCTTTGTTTCTCGAAGATGTGGAGACTTCATCGGAAACATTTACCAACCGTGGTGCTTCCCCTTCCTCTGATTCATTCCTTTCAATATTAGATACGCTTTGAGTTTGTTTCTTCTTCAATTTGGAAGATGGTATCAAGTTCACATATTTCAGATTTGATTTCTGACTTACTTCCGACTTACCTAAAACAAATAAAATTTTAAATTCAGTTCTTCCATTTTTTGGTAAAAACTGTTTTAATTTTGATTAAAAACAAACAAAGAATGTTAAATATACAAAGACACAAAGCGCGAGATTGGAAGAAGACCGACACGACTAAAGGAAAAATGTTTTCAACTTTTGCGTAGGTAATCAATATCATATCATTGTTCTTGGTTAAGAAAAAGTGGAACGTCGTTAATTGTCTTATTTGTGTCGACTTTCTTCTACCAAAACATAAATATGAGCGTATACATCTATACAAACGCAACTCGCATACTCACAAAGATGCTTTCTTCTTCTTTCTCTAACTCCTAGTTGTCATTAAGCGTGGAGGTTTAGCCGCGGCCCATCTCCAATTGCCACGATCATTCGCCTTATCCTTCATTTCTGTCAGAGAGCAGCCTCTTACTCTCCCAAGACTGGTGAGGTAAACCGTATCCATCTGCCTTGGCCGGCCTCACTTGTCTCTGGTCTGGCCTCCATCAACCATTTGATGTTCCTTTCATCGCCCATTCTATTCACATGGCCAAACCAATTCAGCAAGTGCTACTCCGCTACCTCTCAAACTAGACCAAGGAATTTTATCTCAGCTGCAGTCTCTTAGCTCGCATTTCGGTCTATGGTTGTTCATCTCTCCGCTCCAAACAGCAAAACTGGTAGGAATGCTGTTTTAAATAACGGGAGCTTTATCTAATTGCTCATTTGCTCCTTTCCAATGACTGTGAAGCGTATTTGGGAATATAATCCATGTGTTGTTTCACTCTATGAAGTACCTCGTGATCTACTCACAAAGATTCCGATATATTACATGTTCAGCTTAGAGCTGTCTTCTTTCAAGTTAGTGATATGCAATTTTCCACTGATATTTATTCAAAACTTTTAGGCTTTTAGGAAAACATATATTTCTGTCCACATCAATAAAAAAGTAATATAAATTTTCCTTCGAAAGGATATTTACTATTTAATCAATCATAATCTAAAAAACATTATATTACTGTCTTAAAAATAATAAAATAAATAAATGGACAACTTATCCTATTACCTGCAATAGATTCTGAGGGAGAATCTTTTTCTAGAGTCTTTTTCCCTCCTAATCTAAATGATTTTTTTATTTTAAAAAAGAGGCCGGTCTTTTTTTCTTCAGATTCTGTAAAATGTTTGGAAGTATAAGCATAAATTGTATATCGATAGCTAAACTTATACCGTATAATACAGAACAACACAAGACCCCACATCTCTAGAAATATATTAATGTGTGTGTTTGTGTTTGTATGTTAACAATTAAATTGAAGTACACATTTCCGAGAACTCTATACGAGGATTATGGGGAACTAAGAAACTAAAACACTATCATAGTGAAGCAACCATTATCAGTCCCGACCTTAGACATTGGGCGCCCCCAAGTAATGACGTCATCGCTCCCCCCTAAAAATTAAATTTTTTTCTTAAGTTGTGATATGTAATATTTAAATTTCATCAATATTTCTGTAATGTAACTAATATCCTTAATCAATTAATTAAATAATTAATCAATTAATAGCCTTAGCTTTATTAATATCCTATATTTGATTATTTTGATAAATTTTGTATATGAATTTAAAATTATGAAATAGATGAAGAGATTCACACCTATGCTGAGCTATCGTAAACACCCTCTATAAAATAGTTATATTTATATATTTATTTTCATTTTATTAATATTTTTCTTTTTTGGCTCTAAGTCTATCATTATTTTTTGATAACAGAATATCATAATGCTTTTAATATCCAACTATTCAGTTTATACTGATTACACGGTTTGATAATTAATTTCTTTTGAAAATTGGATTAATCTTGATAATATGACTATTTGATGTGTTCTTTGACAGTTAAACTTAATAATAGAACAAAAACTAAAAAAGAAAAATCTTATTACACAAAGAAGACAACCTGTGTTAAGTCTACCTGATAAGAAATGTCTGATTGGTTATTCAGGACCAAGTCTAAGGTTTTTATAAGTACTCAAAAATATTAGTGCAGGAGAATTTAAAAAACCGAACACAAAAACGATAATGATTGATCAGCATCTCCGCCGTTACTAATCCTTTCTCAGCCCATTGCTTAAAGTTATTACAGAAAATAATATAAGTACATGCTCGACTCACGTTCTTCTTTCTCGCTCATTGGTGATCAGGATTTCGAATTTTCTCTTTTGAATTTCTGTAGTATCATGTTTAATTTATCTGCATTTCTAGGCGAATCGGTAACATATGTTAAAAATAAAATATTTAAAAGGCGAATAACTACAACTGTGACAGATAGATAAATCAAAACTACTTTCACTCTACGAAACTGGTATATTTCTAGGCTAACTATTCTGGTAAATGTCGACAATAACTATTATCTTCGGATAGTACACATTTAAATGTTTGATAACATATGTTCCACACCGTCATATGAAAATTCCGGTAGGGGCAGGGCTTGTTTGATACTTCTTGGATCAAGGCTTCATTTACAAAATGGATTAGTAAGGATAATAATTATTTCTTCGAGGAAAAAAGAAAGCAATTTATTCAAGTATTTTATATTTCTAAAAAAAAATAAATATAAAAATACTAGAACTGCATTGTTTGATTACCACATCAAACTGCTAGATATAAAGATGTATACTTCTTATTAAAAATGAAGTCTTTGATGGTAAATGTTGCGGACTATCCACTATTATTATATGTGTTTGCAAAGTGGGTTATGGCAAAACTGTTTTAGGCGGAAGGACGCCAAGAACAGGGTAGCTTGGGCAAGCATGGAGGTGAGATGTGGTGTACACCTGATCATTGTTTTATTGTATTGATGAACCCTAGTAAGAACATAAAAATGGCGACGAGGATGGGATCGGGGATTTGAAGATTAGTGATAAGTGATAGCATCGAGCACCGGGCAGGTTATTTTGTTTACATCTTTAGTGTCATCTGAACTTTCACCATGTCCTTTCCAAACTACGATTACTTGAAACCCGAGAGCTGGGTTGAACATCTGGAGTGATTTCAATTCTGGTTGGACGCGAAAGGCGAAATCACGGAAGTTCAAAAACGTGGCTGGTTGCTTGACATGTTAGATGATGCCACGTTTCGAGATCTCAAAGGATGGATTGCACAAAAATCTCTGAGAGAAGTGCCCTATAGTGATTTGGTGAATACATTGAATGAAAACATCGCCCCTGCATTAAATCTGATGGTAAGTCACACTAAGTTTGTCAATAGGAAATAACTAAGCACAGAAACTGGTGTTTATAAAGGATCTGCAGTTCATTTAAATTTTGACTCATCAGTACCTCCTGTTTACCAGCTTGTAGTCAGGTACCATTTTCTTTATTAACTCATATGAAGCAGAGAATTAAATCTAGTAATGCACAGGAAGTTTTGAAATTGGATTGTGATAGCCTGGAAACCCAAATTATTGTAGCGGAGGTTCGGGAAGCTACACTGGCTGAGAAAGCTTCCTTTGGTTGCTCAGAAAGTGATGAGAAGCGAACGGTTGCTGAAGAGCTGAGCAAATCAATTCTCCAATTGATAATGGATCGGGGAATCTCTTGAGAAGATAAACAGAACCTTGAAGAAAAATTAATGGTAGCAGAGTTACAAACTTTTAATCTTATTGGAGTCGACTACAGAGAATCTATGGATAAATAGTTATGGTGTGGACAATTAACATTGATATGGCGGCGGGGTGACCGAGCGGGCTAATGCAGATGCAAAATACGCGTAGTTCAAGTTTACTAGATAAAACATCAACGACTTCGTATCCCGGTGCCGAAATTTAACTCTGGCATTATTCACTCAGAAAAACGCCATATAGCCTAAAAGGTGAGGAAGGGATGTACAAAAAAAGGTTCAGAACGTTCTGTGTCAGATTCACACGTGGAACGGTTAGTATTTATTTTTCGGCGGTCCGGTTCACGTGAAAACTTCATCTTATGGTATCCTACAACTTTTTCATTTAAGAAAATTCTTAGAAATCGGGCATTAACAATCTCAAGATTGGTAAAGTTTGTCTACTTAATGAGGTACTAAAAACTCTTGGATACCCTTATCCACTTGAATCGTAAGATAATTTGATCACAAAATCGAGAAAAAATGTGATCTACAAAAATATAGGGCCGTTCGGCCTGACTTCCACCTCTAACACGTCAAAATAACGAGGTTATACTGGACAAACGGCCCAATATTTTTGTAGACCACCTTTTTTCTCGAAGACCCAATAGAGAAAAAAAATTACCCAAATTATTTTCTATTGTCAAACCGGTTAGAAAACAAATGTGTGAAATTGTATTGACAACAATATTAACTTAATGTAACCATCTCAGTTATTAATCTTTGGCTCGTAACATCGATTCGTGACGTTACCTTCCTCCGCAGGTTAACCTGTTTATATTTGTAATGTTCCGCCAGGCTTTGAATTAGTGTAAGTTCTAATTAACATCTTGAAGTCATATAACATATAATGGAAAAGTCAGAAGAAAATAACTTTGACCTCGTTTACCATACTTTGAAAGACATAGGATGCTGCCAAATGTGCTGTTTAAGGTTCATTGGAGAGAAAACCTCTTATTCTTATCTAAATGTTGAAGAAATAATAAAAAAGGTGAATAGCTAATTTTCTCTTATGTCATTTGAATTTGATTTTAAAGTTGATTCACGTACTTCTGTTTTAGAGGGAAATAATTTTAAATGAAAAAGCTATAACTGGGAACAAAATACAGAAAGACAATGCATGTGCAGCATGCCTAGGTCTTATTCAGAAACCATACTGTGATATCATCGTAGAAAGGGTATCCTCTTGAGTTGTGTTAAGTTTATATTAATTTATTTTCTTAATTTACTGTGAACTGTTCTATATTTTAGGTTTTAAAAGATTTAGAAGAAGCTGATTATGATTGTGATACATTTAATATAGCCCTCACTCTGCCTGTGAGTTTTCAACTCAGAGCTCATTCTATGTTTCTTTACCTTCAATCCAAATATCCAAAGTTTTCCAATTTTCATTTTCCCCTTGGTGTTGTGACAGTGGGAGTCAAAGATGTGTGGAAATGGGTATTTACCCCTGTTATTGCAAAGTTGCAAAATAAGAAATTTTCCACTTCATCTGATTTAACTATTACAGTAGCTTTGAAATATGCTGATGAAGAAAAAGAGTGTATTTCCTTGTATGTATAATATTATTATTAAATATTTAGTTTATAGATTGAGGTTGCTACATTAATTGCTCAGTTACTTTAATGATTTTATTATATTTCTTTTGTGTTGTAGATTTTCTATGTTCCCTGACAAATTCAGCAGAACCAAAAACCGTAAAAACCAAGGTAGTTTTGACAATTTTTCACGTAAGAGTGCTGAAACGTCTCTGAAAATTGTTGACTCGGATAAATTCTCTGAATGCTATGCCGTACCTCCTGTAATACCAGATTCCAATATTGTATATGATAGCATAACTATGTTGCATAGTTCTGTTTATATTGCTGGTAAGCTTTCTCCTTAAGGGATCATTTAAACACAAAATAAAGTGTGTTAAGATGTTTAATATCTGTTATTTTTTAGTCTAAAAGATTATTATTAGCAATATTTACTATTTTTTAAAATATTTATGAGAATTAATCATGAAATAGATCATATTATTTAGCCAGATCTTTTATCTCTAGTTCAAATAATAATACCCTTTTATTAAAAATATCCATCTATGTTAATTTTATTCATTATTTAGTATAACATGAAATTCTTTATTTTAGGAAGATATAACAAGCTATCACGTGTTTTGCCACAGACGCCTTGGCTTATAAATGGAGAAAGAAAACTTGAAGGTTCTGTAGAAGAGTTGATATCAGGTCCAATGAAACGTATTATCAAATCTCAAGGTAAGTTGACCTCTTGAGTGAAATAATATATATATATATATATATATATATATATATATATATACATATATATATTTAGTAGTCATGCTATACTGAGTTTTATATGTATCTAGAGATTTTATCTAAAATAAATTTTATTATTCATGATTGAAATAGGGGAGGTCTTATTAAATATTTCATTATATTAAGATTATATGTTATTTTTGTTTGACTTTTGGCAATTTATATATTTGATGGGATCTCTAACTAGTGTTTTGGGGTAATAATAAAATATGATTGAATACTCTAACAATTAATTAATTTGTATTTAGTGTTTAGGTGCGATCATTTGTCACTCTCCTTCATTAGTATCTATATTAGAATAGAACTTTGAGTCTTATTAATATTTAATCTTCTTTACCACATCAAACAATAACTGATATATACATATATTTATATATATATTTGATTGTGAGTTTATTTTCTGTTGCATTTATTCATTTTGTCCTTATTAATATCTTTAGACACACGTTTTGCGGCATCTGGGAGAGAAGATGTGGATGTACGTACTTTAGGACGTGGAAGACCATTCTACGTTGAACATATTGACCCACACAGGGTCCAAATTGACTTTGGTACTATGAGGCAACTGGAAGATGATATTAATAAAGAAGCCAATGGTGAGGTATTTGTCAGGGACCTACAGTTCATTGACAAGTGAGTTGTTTGGTTCGAGATGTCACATGCTTAAATCAAGTAATTTCCTTTGCTACTTTTTTATTTTGTAGCAAAGAAATAAGGATGCTGCTTTAAACTGAGATATTTTTACAGATCTGCACTGGAAATGCTGAAAGTTGGAGAAGAAACTAAGACTAAGGAATACAGAGCTCTCTGCTTTCTTCTTGACCCGAAAGAAAGAGACAATTGCAATAATAGACTTAAGGATCTTTCATCGCAGTTTCCTGTCAAACTCCAACAAGCTACTCCTATTAGGGTAATTTAAATTTATTGGAGTGATTTTCTTCTGTCAGAGTATATTTAAAAACCACAATTGTATATGTTAAATGAAACTAACTATGTATTGGAGAAACCTACTGAAGTGTCTTAAAACATCCAATTACCAGCCAGCTGGCTCAGGCACATTAACAGTACATTCTAAATATGTAATTTATTGATAGATTTTTTTTTTTAATATGATGTGCTATTTATTAAAACACTGATTTAAGTCTGTATTATATGGCAACTTTTAAAGTGTGGAGATATTTTTTTGTTCCATTTATTTATTTGTATGAAAGGTAATTTTTCTGTTAGGTACTACACAGAAGGCCTGTAGCTGTCAGAGAAAGAACTATTCATTGGCTCAAGACTACTCTTCTTCGGGAAGATAAAGGTATTTTTAATCCAACTAGCTCAAATAAATTATCAGTATTTGTTTATATGAAAAAAAAAAGTTGCTTTTCAGAAGAATTATTATACTTACAGATTCCATTTACACATTATTTCTAGTAAATAAAACCAATTTTTTTTTTTTAAAGTTCATAAAGAATGAATTAAATTTATAAATCTTATAAGAACCCACGAGTTTACTATTTGTATATGCTTTCTGTTTATTGTTTTAGATGTTGTAAAAATTTACATCAGTAAATTTGTTTTGTCATAGTTTGATTTTGACCTAAGAAATAGTTCAGTCTTGCAACAAATTAATAAATTTGTGAATAACTAATTGGGCTTAATATTGTGAATAAATGTATGTCCTTGAACACTAACCTTCATTACTTATTTCTCGATCATAATCATTACCAACTTAATAGGAGACTTAGAGCAGTTATATATAAATAAGAAATTATTATTCTGATTGAATGTTTTATTTTAAAGTAGAATTGAGGTGCAGTACTATATGCATGTATATACTGTAACATTTGGCTTTAAACATTTATTGTGATTGTAATATATTTAGATGTATTTTTCTATTATATTTGAATGCGATTAGCTCAGCCTTATTTGTTTTTTATTTTTTTCTGCAGATGTGTTTACAATCAGCTTGAACACACAAGCTGGAACTTACATTAAAGAATTCATCCACGGTGATTTTGGAAGGACCAAGCCTTGCCTTGGAGAGCTCCTTGGCGGAATTGATGTTGATATTCTAGCTCTAGATGTTGAGGTATTTTATAAATTAGTTATTTTTTTAGAAGAATTATTGAAGGAAGTTAGTCGACTGTTCTGCATATCAAGGGTGATAAATATTCAGGACGCAGTCATTATGAGGTTTTTATTAGTGCCGATGTTTCAACCCAAACATATGGGTCATCATCAGGGCATGGTTCGAGCACTGATGATGACCCACATGTTCGGGTTAAAACATCGGCACTAATAAAAATCTTATAATGACTGCGTCCTGAATATTTATCACCGTTTATTTTATTTAAAAAGAACTCAGAGGTAGGGATCCATTGATATCAAAATATTAGCCAAAACTCATATTTTAAAGGCTGAAATATCAATCTTACAAGCCTTTCTTTTCTTACTATCGAGGTTCGTATTAATTTTGCTGAATAAATCTATCTATTAAGCATGTAGGGATCATTCAATATATAAATTTTTGCAGATGCCAAAATTTCAAAGACTGATATATCTGCCTTTCAGTTCAATTAAGTCGGTCTTTCTTTTAATAAGGTTGAGGTTTGTGCTGTTTCGTTTAAATTCTCTTTCTTATTACTCAATAAATGTATGAACCAAGCATCTGACGATCAACCGATATAGAAATTTTAGCCGATTCCATTTCTAAGACTAATATATATCAACCTATTGGTCTTTCTTTTCTCTTATCAACCTATTGGTCTTTTACATTGAGATGTGTGCTGTTTTCCTTGGAATGTTTCTTTATTGCTAAATAAACATCTCAATGAAGTGTCTAAAGAACATCAATATAAAAATTTTACCCAATACCAAAATTTCATTGACCAATGTAGAGTTATATTGGCCTTTCTATATATTAGCCTTTCTTTTCTTTCTGTTGAGGTTCGATTTGCTTAACTTGGAATATTCTGCTTATTGCTTTGTACCAATGTGTACATTAATTGTCTAGAGTGTAAATTAATCAATATAGGAATTTTAGCTAGTATCGATATTATATAATAGGTATTATCAGCCTTTAAAATATCAGTATTGCATTATATTTTATCATTTATCATATTTTTTGTATTACATTAATTCTGTGAAAGTGTAATAAACAAGCCATTCAACTCAAGTAACTCATTCATATTGAGAAATATTACTCTGAGAATTAACTGAACCATTTGTGTAGGCAGCAACAATATTAATATCAGCAAATCCTTATAAGTTGCCAAAAGGCTGATGTTAATATTAGTATCAGTCGATCCCTAGTCAGATATAGTCCGTTATTACCTTAAACCTTAGGGTTGTCATATTAATTAAAGAGTACCATGTCATTAATCTGTACTAATGTAGATAAAAACAAAAAGTTTAAAAATGGTGGGTGGTGGCTGCAAAATCCATCATTAGTATGTATTAAATTAATTAATTTTTATTTCATAAGTTTCTTGTGATCCCTCTATTATCTTAAACCTTGTTTCTATTGTTATTATTTGTTTCTACCCATATACTTTTCTGTGGAAAATTGTTTTGATTGTTTATGAAGAGCTGGAATATTCTTTGATTGAATATTTTAATACTCTGTTATAGTACTCTCTTAAACTATTTTATTATATTTGTATTGAATGATTCATTCTTGATCAGCAATATTCAAGAAATTGAAGTTTCATTCTTAATATGTTCTGATTTGCAATAATTTTGCCATTATTTTAGGTGTTAAATAATTAATTAATTTCACTTGTAATATCTACATATAATGGAATAGATTCAAAGTAATAATTACTGTTTTTTTTTTTTTTTAGTCGTTATAGAATAATAGAATAGAAAACTTTATTCCGGGATTCAGTCCCCTTAAAATAAAAATAATGAACAAATACAGACGAAAATACATATCTGGGTCAAAAACTAACTTCATAAAGATTCTAACAATATGTACATATAACGATGACTTCTTTATAATATTAACAATATTTGGCTCGGAATGAGTAATTTTAACTTAAAATTATTTTGAACCTCATACCTAATATTTTTTTTTTTGTAATAAATATAATTCATTGAAATAATATTAAAAAATGTCTTGTGATTTCTATCAAAATTTTTGATTATATATGTTTAAGAAAAAAATACAGAGTGTTTCCTCTATCCCTATACTATATATTGTACTATTTTTGTAAATAATAAATATTTTTACAGTGAATTAGTTTGGGAAAAAACCTAATTTAAATTTCTCTCTATTTTGTGAAGTAGGATTGTTTATTATAAACTTTACAACATAGTAACAGAGAAATAACATGAAAAATCTCAAAAAAAAAAAATTTGTCTTACTGAAATAGTGTATTCCTTCACCCTATATATATATATAATATATAATATATATATATATATATAGTAAAAAGAGAAATCTCTTTAAAATGCAGAAAACGAAGAACTTTTGAGACCATAAAACTAGTCAAAAAGTATAGAAAGGGCTAAGCCAAAAAAAAAAAAAAAAAATATATATATATATATATATATATATATATATATATATATATATATATATATATATATATATATATATATATTTTTTTTTTTTTTTTTGGCTTAGCCCTTTCTGTACTTTTTGACTAGTTTTATGGTCTCAAAAATTCTTCGTTTTCTGCATTTTAAAGAGATTTCTCTTTTTACAATAGTTTCTGATATTTCATTGTTTTTATCTTCTAATTAGACAATGGGGCTCACCTTTTTTTTGAAATGGCCTTCAATTTTTATATCTCTTGCCATCGTTGATGTGGTCTAGAAGGTGTAATGTGTCTGAATAAGCAATTCGATACATTTTTGTTGATAAGTAAATTTTGGCATTCCTCTCAGTCATAAAATCCTTTACTTTTAGTATTTTTAACTCATCATGAAGTCTTGATGCCTTCAATCTTTGCAGTGATGTTCCTTTTCTTTTTTCTGCAATATTCCATTTTGAACCGATTCCAGTTGTTTTTCTGTAAACTTTGTAATAAATGGGAACAATGGGCTGCCATTTAACAGAGTTGAACATATGATTGTTTTATAGATCAATATTTTTAGACGCATCGAAAGGTGTTTGGAACAGTAGTCTATCAATAATAAGTTAGTCATTAAGTTTTTTGTCAGACTTGTTAATATTTTTACAAAAGTGTGCCGAAAAACTTAATTTTCGGTCAAAAGTTACTCCAAAAGATAAACAATATATTTGGAAAGTTGCAATTTTTAATTTTTAATTTTGCTGGTAGTTTCTTCTTCCCTTTTTGGAATGCAAAAACAATCTCTTTTCTTTTTTTCTTTTTTTTTTCTTGAAAGTTGTATGTTATTCTTAGTTTTTGGCAACAATGATTTCCAATTAAATAACACTTGATTTATTTGTTGTATTTTCAAGTTTCAATTTTACGTGTTAACGTTAAGGGATATTTACTCCCATGTTCAGAACTACAATCCCAATGTTTCTTTGTTGATTCATGGCTCAAGTCTAATGTGCTCCATTGTCAGGTTCTAAATTCAATCATTGGTCTAATTATTGATAGTTCTGAAGATGGGAGTAAATATCCCGAAACGTTAACATATAAACATGTAACTTGGAAATACAACAAATAAATCAATTGTTGTTTAATTGAAAGTCATTATTGCCAAAAACAAAGAAAGAACAATCTCTTTTGTTTTATCTGGATTTGTCTCAATTTGTAATTCACTTAGTTCGTCAATTATCTTTTGTGCAACATCTTATTTGCTATATTGTTTCGTAGTCTTCCTTGCGTTTAAGCTGTTACTGTTGCATTTTGATAATTGGTCCCAACAATTCTTCCTGTCACAAGAAATTCGCTCAGCAACTTTTACAGATATAGATTGCTCGCACAAAAATGATGCCATTATCGCTTGTAACTGTTCAGGACATCCAAGATCAATAAGCTGTTGGCAAAGGATTGCCAGAGTTAAATGCTTTAGAACAAGGGCTATCATAAGAGTGACCTTATTTCTGCTGAAGTTGTTCGATACTTCGTTCTGCAGACTCACTAAGCAGTGTTGCATACTAAGTTGTTCCTGAAATCCTGTTATCTGAGGCGGAATTACTTCATTTTGTGTACAGAACTTCTGTAAGTAATTGAGGATTATCTTCTCAAAAATTTTCCCCATGTAAGGCTAACGGGGTAGTGAGATGATTCATTTCCATTTTTAGTGGGGTTTTAAAAGGGAAAATAGTAGTGCTAACCCAAAATATTGAAACCACACCATAATTTATTCAATTTTTGTGAATCACTTGTTAGGTGTAGAGAAATATAAACTTTTATATTTGATTTTTTTTTTTAAATCTACTTTTCAGGATGTACTGTTGGATTGGCCTCCAGAAGTGAGCTCCAAGAAAGAACAGTTATCAGAATCCTAATATTTTCTTCATGGTGATAGAAAATCATCTTAATGATTAATATTTTTTATATCACTGTTTCAGCAAAGTTTGGCAACTCTCTTTGTAGTCATAATTTACTTTTATAGTTTTTACATGTTAACTGTTTTTTTAAATTATGTACTTAATGTGGATTTTTCTTATGTTAAGAGAGATCCTTAATTCATCTGTTTTAGAGAAAAAAGAGATGAAGACAATGTTATACACAATAAATAAATATATTTTTATTTATTACCATTTCATGACTTTAGTTTCTTATATCAGTTCCCTTAACTATTTGTATCAGTGATAATATAAAATGTTTATTACTTTTAATCAGTTGCGCTGTAATTAACTGTGTGCCTACTTTTCCTGTGATGAAACCTCAATGTGGTAAGAAATGTGAGTTAAAATGCATACAAAATGACAAACTTTACACACACTGACTCCTCATGTTAAAAATGTTTTACTGTAATATTAAACTAACCAATAATATTTCATGGTTGTTAAACTTCTATATACAAACTTAAGTGGGGCATGAAATATAGAAATCAATATAATTATGCCAATGGTGATAAACAAAACATATTGCAACAATCCTTATCCGATTCGACATTAGAATTAACCTGATTAAATTAGGACAGCAAATATCTGATTGATGATCATGATTGTAACCAAATCAGTAGATAATGAGAAGCAATTTTTATTAGCTTATCTAATAAAAAATTGTTTCTCCTGATTTATATATAATATATAGTCTGATTATCAGGAGTGTTAACCAGCAGTGTTGTAAAAAGGGTAATTAGTTGTGAAGGAATTAGTTAATCAATAATTATAATTAAATCCTCTCTTTTCTCTTAAACGCATTCCCTCTGAACCTGCTGAATCCATTTATCAGTTATCTGTCTAGATATTTGATCCTCTTTTTACTCAATTAAAAAATTTTAGAAATTTCTCTTTTAAGAAGAGTTTTAAGTTTAAGTCTCTTTTAAGAAGTTAGAAGTTTTATATAGAAAAATTGTTCGCAGAAGTTCCCATATCCTTAGTAAATCACGACTCATTCATATAAACACATGTTTTCCCTCAAAAGTTCTCCAGAAAAAGAAACCCAAGTTGATTAATTCTACAATTTATTTGGCATACTTCAACTTTACAACTCGAAGGGCAACATTATTCCAAAATTACAACTGCTTTTTGTTTCTCACTTCCACAAACAATTTTTTATTTTATAGGCATAACTTCTAGTTTCATAGAAGAGCCATTGCCAAGTGTACAGTTAAGTTTTTTTGTTTTCTTCATCAAAAAGTTTATGCTAGTTTTGGAGCAATCCTACAATCAAACGGTAAATTTTTTCTTCCTTTTACGGTACACAAATTGATTTTAAAAAGCAAACCCTTATTACAGCACAAAGGAAGAACATCCTATTCAAAGAGTACTGGAACTGTATTGCTTTATTAGTTTATTTGTTATATGAATCAATTTAAAATTGCCAACTTAATTTTTTTAGAAAATTTAAATTGTTTTAAAATCATGTTAGTTATCAAAGAAAATAACTGATCCTCAGTTATGATACCGAGTGGAAATAAATCCGAGCATTCATGAAACCAAGAAAACAGTTTAATTTATAAAACTTTAACTGATTTACCAATCTAATAAAATACAAACACCTAAAATATTTATTCAATAACTAAAATATAATTATTGTAATTCTGTTAACAAATTTTCCATCATCAATGCACTATTGGTTTGCAAAACTGATTTCAACTAGTAATTATTACTTAGTTAAGGTGATATTATGACAAGGATATCATTATAAAAAAAAAAAAAAAATCTTTCAATATTTATATAATTCTAAAAGTATATGACAATGTATATAAAATTCTGTATTCAATATTTATAAAACATTCACACGTAAGCAGTTTTTACATATTTACAAAGAAATAATACAGATCATATAAATAATCAGTCTATAGTAACAAAAGTTTATATTATTCATCCTCCCAATTCTTCATTATTTTTATTTTGTTTTTTACACTATACCGTTTCAACTAATTATCAAATAAATACCTTAACAATATATAATCACAAAATCAATAAAATGGCACTAAACATAATCTTCAAATATACAATTTTTTTTTTTTTCTGGATTAAGTTTCAACGTTCGAACATATTTACAAAGAACAAGAATATTGTAATACATTACTTTTTTTGTTCAATTTTCGAAATAAACCTTTAAGGGCTGCAAATGAGTTAGTTATAATTTATTTAAATAATAAAAAATATTAGACACACCAAAGGTATAATCAAATATGACTGGAAAAAATAACATTTTGATACTTTTAAACATGAGAATATCAATTTTCAAAACAATCTTTCTACAAAATCAAGATACTTTGTTATTAAACAATTAAAACATAATGATTCTTTGAACATTAGCAGCCCAGAAAATAATTAACACTAGATTTACAGGCTTAGAGGTTGTTTTTTTTAAAAATTACATATCTTTATTTCTAAAAACTGTATTTGGTAGATTATATTAAAATATAACAAAACTTGAAATCTTAGAGGTAAAGAAGAAACTAATCAAGTAATAGACTCATCAACAATACAGATTCAAATATTAATTTTAAGTACAGCATGAAAACAAAACTTTCAATTGCAGTTTCAAAAATCAACATGTTTTGAAATATAGAATTATATTTCATGACCAATAATCATTCATATCGTACCTAATGGTGATCAAACTTAATATGAATTTCCCCTCTCTCCCTCCAAAAAAATTGAAATATAATAATAATGACTTATTACTAAGTATAAAATTGAAACATCAAGACAAGTAAAATCTAGTGTTAAAAATACATTTTGGAAGAAATAATCAGGAAAAAAAAATCTTAATAGTTCACAGTTTAGCTTACAAAATTTGAAATTAATTATAGCATATCAATAGACGGAAATTTACAAGAAAAAACAAATTATTAGCCACACCAATATTATTGAATAAATCCTTGATAAAGTCACTACTTCTTGAATTGTCAATAGAAAATAAATAAAATGAAATTCAAACAAGTGCTATAATTTAGTTCTATAAAATAAGAATTTTAAAAACTAAAACATACGAACAGGAGAAATCCTATGATATTAATAGTGATATAAGTAGAAAAAATCTACTGGTTTTTATTAAGTCACAAACTTTACGTATTCAGTTTTAAAAATCTTCAAAATGTATACACTATCACAGGTATATTCCATTGACCTTTTTAAAATTCTATTTCTACTTGTGCTCTTGATTTCTCACAATTCATTTTTAAAATTTATTTTTATTAAACTAGAGGAATGTAGCAGTTATTATTTTCAACATTTAAACAAAAGCCGCCTACTCAAGTGGGGGCTCTAAAATAACTAGCCAGTCCTAAAGTACTATACACTACAATTCACTTTTACAACAGTCACTGTTTACAATCTAATCCTAAAAAAAATTATATTGACTTAATAGGCAGTGGTTTTTTTTTTTTTTTTTTTAATTTTAATATATGAATATTTAATTAAAAATTTCAAAAAGCTTAGCATTTTAAAACTTATAACAAGAAAAACACGGGATATAAATTTTTTTTTATTAAACAAGATTTCCACTTTTCTTTTTCTTTTTATATATATATATATATATATTAATAAAATTTTATAAGACTATGTACGGAACTAGATACATTATATTACAAATCTGTACACGAACACAATATTTCTACAGCAGGACTTAGTAACTTCACATTTGACAAGATATATGTCATGGACTGTTTGCACGCAGTGCAATTATATACAACGGACCAGAGACACCTAAACGACTTTTGTGACTCTAAATAATGTTCTCTTTATTTTTATTTTACCAACTACTCAATGTTTGATGATAAAGTGAGATTGAATCTCAATGGTAATAGTTCTACCCTACATCACAGCTCAAGTCTTCCGCTTCAAAATGTCCAAATCAGGCTGGAGGGATAGACCAGCGATTGCATCCCACCCTCTTGATAGCCATTGATTGACTCATAGGTAACATATCTCCTTGCAGAATAAAGAAGCTTTACGAAACTTAGTTAGCGCATATTTCTGAATGGTTGGCTTCTGAGTAGAGGCAGGAGGATTCGCTGCATGAACAGCCTGTATCACTTGCACTACAGTCTTCATAACATGGACCACTATAATCATCTGAAAAAAATCAATAAATTTTATTTTTTAAAAAATAAATTATACTATTCTTCATTTTTTAAAAAAATACTAATCGATTTAGCTTTTAATAACTAGAAATCAGATGATTTAACCAAATGAAATGTATTATTTTTAATAAAATTAGTAAAAACATTTGTCCTACGAAAATTATTGGAATAATCTTCTTAATAATACATGCAATGTTCCAAAAGAATTATATCAATATTTTGGACTCTTAAGTATCTTGAATTCAAATAAATTATTTACTAGTTTTGTAACTTACCATGTTTGCAGTAAGTTCTGCTATTTAATGTAGACTGAATTCCTTTGTCATGGGAGTGAGAACAGTGGTCATCACTATAAATAAAATAAATATATACATTAAAACTACAAAAGACAATATTCTGTAGGCAATTAAAAGTACTCTTAAAAAAGATTTTTTTCTGATTAACAATTAAAAAATTATTTTATTTTCTTAACAACTTAATACTGTATAAGTAGTACATCAGATATCATAAAACCCGAAATTTTTCACATTTTCTCAAACTTTTAGTTAAATTATTTTTAAATATCAAATTACTTTTAAACACCTTTTAAATCAATGTATTGATTAACATTTATAACTTAATAATTATAGCGTAACTTTTTTTTTTTTTTTACAAATTTCATGTTTTATTGAAAACATTTTTGTTTATTTAAATTTTCAAAACTATCATGTGGAATCAAATGAAAATAGTTTGGAGGTTATTTTTGGATGAGAATACTGTTGTAATAAATCTTAATCTTTCATTTGGGGCAAGAATAAGTTGAAAGCCTGTAAGGGGTAACCTAACTTTCCTGCCCTAATTAGAATACATAACAGATTTTCTCAATAAACAAAAATAAGTTAAAATTAGTTTCTTTTCACGTAAAGAAACATCATTACCCGCTAAATAACTTTTTATTATGTCACCAATTTAGAAATTAACAAACAATATAGTCCATAAAAATAATGGCTGTATGAATCTATTTACTTAAACAAATATAAATGGTAATTCAGATTCACAAATTTCGGATTAGAGTCGTATTTCATATGAAAATAAATAAGACTCGAGATATATCTATCATTAGGCTTTGAATGAAGCAACAAGCCCAAGACTAATCTTGTTTATTCCTCAGCGGTACCTGTTGTAGTATAAACTCAAAAACAAGTAAGTTTAGATGTTTGCATATGACACCAATACAAATGGATGATGAAATAATCTTTTCCACAAAGAAGAGGACTGATATTACTTTTGAGCCTATCGAGAAAATGATATTGTCCACAAGGGAAAATTCATCAAAACATTTTTTGGAAGAATCGGAAACAGATTCTTGCATCACAGGTCTCAATTAGTTTAAAAGCTAAATTCATATTGCCAACAATTTCATGATGGTCTGCTTTCAAATTCCTAATATAAATAATTTTATTTATCAATGATTCATTGTCAAATTTGATGTCTTGGTTGTACTTACTTTGCAATAGGCTGCTTATAGAGTAAGCTGGCATTTTCTTCATGAGTGGCCTTCCTACTGCACTGGTGATATGGACAGGATGAAGAACTGCTGCTACTTTGGGATTGGTTGGTTCCATTATAACGAGGGATGGGTGGAGGCTTCTGAGCTGGTGGTGGGAAATGCTTGTGTTTGCTGGAGTCAGAGCCGACGGACTGGCTCTCAAGCCAGGCTGGGCTGTAGTTCCTGGCAGGAGGAAGAGGTGGAGGGCATCTCCTCGACACTTGAGGGCTGACACACATTTCCTATGACGAATATTTTGTGTTAAATGATATATATTAAAAATTTTATTTGCTTAGTAAAATTATCATGGAACAATATTTTAATGACACATGTAATGTAGCATAAGAACTATAAAAGTCAAATAAAATATTTGTATGATAGCTGGAAATGGAGACAGTTTTGTTATAAACAACTACTTTACTTTTATGAAGTAACTGCTTAATATATTTGAATTTCCTTATTAAATATACATTAAAAATTTTGGTTTAATAAATTCAATATTATTTGTTAATGAACAGCATCAAATTTTTGGAAACTTATTTGCATAGGTTTTAAACAAGATCCTTACTTGATTAATGGAACGAGCCCTATGGTGAGGTGGAGGATGATCGGGAGGAGGTGGTAAAAATTCAGCCCAGTTAGCCACATTTCCAGCAGAATTGAATTTACCAGGGTTTCCCAGTTGTTTTGGGGTCGGTTTCACTTCTTCACCTACAAATTGAATAAAATGTCAATCTATGTAATGTTTAACTAATAATATTTATAATACAAAGAAAAGTTGGATGTTAACTCACTGTAGTACATGCCAGAATCAATCGAGCTCATTTGTTGGTTACCTTCGTCTACTTCTTCGATTTTGGTTTCAGAAAGAGGCATTAACTCCTGTGTATTGGAAAGAACGATCATTAAAATAAGTAGAGATATTTGTATAAATGTATTAATTTTATTATGACTTGTTTGTGTGATTGTGTTTGAAATTACTGACTGTTATTAATAACAAAAAAAACAAAGAATATAAAATCACTTTGTTGATACAGTGAACATACCTGATGAGGCCTCCTATTGAGAAGAGTTGTGGTGGCATAAGGCGTTGGTTGATCTTTCCGAGATGCAAAAGTTGTCAAACCACGAGTATCAACTTCCGCGTAATCACCAAGTGCTTCTTTGCCCCATCCTCCTCTCTCGATCCACAGGGTCTCTTTACCATTTGAATGTAGTAATGACACTTCATTACCACTCACTAAAAAAAAAAGGATTAAATCCTAATAAAATGTTTCCAATAAAATAAAATTAGAGAATATAATTTAAAAGTAACATAATCAATATAGGTAAAATTTTATATGAGTTGAAAAACCATATTAAATAAAAAATAGTATTACTTTTATTATTATAAGTTAATTAAGCATAAAATATAAATAATAACCTGATAAATGACCAAGCTCTTTTGCTAAGCCACGTCTTCTCAGGTAAAGTGCTGCAGAACATGAAAGACCAAGTACCAAAGCACAAGCTGCAGAAAGGACAAGCAGCCATGTATGTCCTTGCCGTGCTCTGCTGTAAAGTATAAATTTGCTATTAGTAAATTGATAAATAACAATAAAAATATGGATTACAGAGACAAGGCCTACTCAGCCCCATGATTATAATTTTGGTTTTATTACTGGACTACTATAACATAATTCAAATGATTCAACTAAATTATTCTCACAAAGTGAACTCTATTTTAATTTTTAAACTCGGTTTTTTAAGAAAAATAAATCTTTTGAGTCCAGAGCAACAAAAATATACTTATATCTTTTGCAATCAGGCATACAAGCTATCAAGCCCAGTGGGGTTGATAAATCTTTATTCTATAATTACTAATATTTAAAGGATAGTTGTTTATAATATTTATTTTGATAACTAAGGTCACAATACAAACCGTTAACCAAAACATATTATCTAAGGAATGAATTGGATATAAAATTAGTAATTCAATGAATACAAAATTATTAGAGTTTACTGTTGTACTAACCTAGTGGCAGCGGTTGAAAGAACCAGCTCTCTCGAGAAAGGTCCTGACCCAATCCTTGTAATGGCAGTAACAACCACAGTGTAACCAAATTTCGGGTTCAGCTTGTTCAAAAGTAGTGACGGCACTGTCGTATTTCGGACAGTTTCATGCAAGGTCATGTTACTTCTAATTACCACCTGAAAGGTAAAACGTCTAGTATGAGAAAATAAATTATGTTTAAATTTTAATTTTAAAAATAAATATAATGAGCATAAGTACGAAAACAATTGAGAACGTTTTTAAAAATATTATAAAATATGTTATAAAATGAAAATTGATATGCCTGATTTTTGAGGAATATAGTGAGATATTACACTAGTAAATAAATAAACCATTTACTTTATATCCAGTAATGACACCATTATGATGCTGCATCGGAGGGGCTGACCATCTTAACTGGGCAGTTGTTGAGTTAAGTATTTCTGCTGAAAGACCAAGAGGGGCAGCTGAAGGAACTGCAATGAACAAATTCAATTAGCATTAAAAACTATTCAAACAAAAGATAATACTAATAACATTAATTTGTATAATTTTATAAAAGTATTATTATGATTTGTTTCAAATTTAGAGGGATTGATCATTAAACTGAAAAAATACATATTCTCTGCCTATTCCAGTGTCCTTAATATTAATTAAAAAAAAAAAAAGAAAATGTATTTTATAAAACTATTTCTTTTTCCTCCTTTCATCAAAATAAGACTACAACACTTCCATTGTTCTTTCTATAATTTCAATTTTTTATCCACTGCATTGTGGGTTATTTCTTTTTCATCTTTATTTCTTGTTTGATAGATCCCAATATTGACACTTTATGTTAGTATTTATAAATCTCTCATTGTAAAATAAAGTATTTTATAGCTTACCATCTTCTAAGGTCTGGACAAATTTGGAGTTGGATGGTTGACCTTCAACAGACTTGAAGAATGGTGTGAGGAAGAATTCATATTTTGTAAATTTCCTCAATGATGATACAGTATAATGTGTTGCTCCAGCGGCCATCACTGTGACCAGGCTGTACTTGTGCCAGCCGCCCGAAACTTCACGGAACCTAATGTAGACTCCTTCAATGTAATCGTCTGAAGTTAGAATCTGTAACAAATTATTTTTTTTATGTTGATTTATCCAAAATCAAACTTCTGCTAATGTACTGACTACCACAGCATAACTTATGAATTTTCAATTTTTTGTAATTTTTCAAATTATTTTTATTGAAATTATGTTATATAATTATTTACTTTCATGTTTCACTCTGAAAAAAAAGTGTTCTGAATAAATCAGTTATCAGTTACTTGACTTTTTCATAAACAGGTAAGAAATAAAAAGAATCATCTCTTAACTTACCTCCCAGGTTACCCTAACTGTTGTCGAAGAGATGGGGCTTAACTCCATCAAATTTATAACCCTTGTTCCTAATCTCAATCGTGCCTCTTCCAGTTGAGCTTGAGAAACTCCTCTCGGTTCACCACCAAGAGTTCTCAGAATCTCAGACATATTACTTGGAACTGACAGACCAAATGCATTTTCTGATCTTACGGTAAAAATATACCTTGTTTCTGGCTTAAGATCTTTTATCTAAAAAAAAAATTCTTTTTGTAGTCTTATTTTTATCCACAAGAAATGCTGTACTTCTGATATATTATTATAAGAACTATTATTGTTCTTAATTTAATCGTCATAATATATTTCATACCGATAATGTTTACTCACCGTGACCATGTGGCCAACTACACCCCTGGCAGCTACAACCCATCCACCCTGTAAGTCAGGACTGTAGTACTCCATGGTGTAGCCCGTCAGAGTAGAGGCCCCCTGAGGAGGGTCCCAGGCGAGGGTGAGTGCATGCAGCGATGCATTGACAAGCCTGAGGGAAGAGGGGGCTCGTGGCAGGGCCCCTGGTTCTGGACCACGCTCAGGATCTCCACCAACACGAAGCCAACCAGAAGCGTAACTCTCACCACTATCCGACTTGGCTGTGCAGGTGTACACTCCAGAGTCTGTGTTTTCCAGATCTGCAAGCAGAAGTTAAAATTAAAATTAGCAAATATCAATTCAATGGTTCAAGGATAAGATAAATTTGTGCAACTATTTACTGCATTACTTTTTTTTTCAAATGATTTATTTATTCTTCATTTAAATAGTATGTATTATCGAGTTGTTTTAAATGTAATGACGGAACTATTTTTATGGACTAATCTTCTGAAAAACTCTGCTTATACATAGTATTAACAAATCATATTCAACTTGTTCCAAATCAAGTTCCCTTTTTTCCAAACCAAATTCAAACTTTTCCATTTTAGTTCAACTTGTGATAGATTTATTTGATATGAAGTTCTTTAATTAGGTTTTAGTCCGTGGTACAGACCTCTTTTTATCAAATTATTAGCATAAACGTAAATTCATTCTGAAAATTCTACCGAATTACAGATTGCGTATCAGCAATTTTAAATTCTCCGAATTTTTCTAAACAAGGATATATTAGTGTGTTGTATGCGATTAAAGTGTAAATTTTAAAGTATTTTTTATTTTTATTTTTAGTTTAATTACTTGTTATAAAAAAGTTCTCTTTCTGGGATGAAATATTTTGAGCTTGGCCTGTAAGTGTTGATAAAATTTTACTGCAAATATATTTCATTGCAAAAATAATAGTCTTAAATTATTTTACATTCAGAATGATAGAAAGTTTATTTATCAAAGAATAACAATTTGGTCAGACTCTATGGCAACATTTTGAAGACATACTTTCAAAATTTGTGAAGGTGTTAAGACATAGGGGGTGTATTAGGTTCATTTTGTGACATGCTTTAACATGGGAATTTATGTTTGTGGCAGCGTTTTAAAAAGTTTTGGTACTGGTTAGTCTTAAACTGTATATATTTGCAATGTCACTATGTTCGGCGTAAATTAACATCAAAATGGGTCAGGTCTCTTGAACAAAATTTGAAATCAGCTTTATATTGTATATTATTTCTAAAAGGTGTTTTTTTTTTGTCAGTACGCCATAAGTTGGTCAATTCTTCATCAAATCCAATGATTGAACACTCATTTTGAAGATGATATTCTCCTTCACATGCATAAAACAGTCGTATACCCCCGAAATTTCTGTAAAAAATGTTATGACGGAAAAGAAACTTTATTTGCAAATAACTCAAAAAGTATGCATTTTTTTTCTGGATTGTATCCATCACTAAATCACCTACAAAAAAAAAAAAAAAAAAAAAAAAAAAAAAAAAAAAAAAAAAAAAAAAAAAAAAAAAAAAAAAAAAAAAAAAAAAAAAAATCGGACGATTATTAACAAAGATACAGTCCATTAGTTTTGGTACACTTAATAATTTAAACCTCTTTAAAGATACTGCACTTATTATTCTACTACCCTTTTTTTCCTGGCTGACATGAGTTATTTCTTAAAGGCATTTATTTGTTTGAACATTTTATATTTTTTTATCATTTAGAAATTATTATAGAGGCTTTATTTTGAACATTACCTTTCTAGCCTGCGTTTAAAAATAGGCCCTTGCAAAGCAATGTGTACAAACATTTAGTTTTATTATGCTTAATAGAACATTGTAACCGACCAAGGAAAAACAATTAATTCCTTCCTCACATAATACATAGGATCTACTTATTTCCATATTGTTTTGCTATTTCTTCAATAAATAAACTTTTATCCGAATTATTAGCACGGGCAAAGTAGTATTTATTTAATAATATTGCAATAACAGGAACATTAATTACGCTGGTAACAATATAAACAACTTTGACTAAATCTTGCAATGTATCAACGCTCTAAACCATTAATAACATAAACAGAGGAGAACCGGGAAAAAAAAAATGGATAGACATGATATTCTCAATGCATACGTACTTAATGAAAGGAGGACGTAAATAATCTTTGACGATCGATGAAGTAATTTAAATTAATTCGATGCTTCGAAAGTATTTACTAATTTGGGGTCATTTTTAATTTTTTCTATTTAAAATATGAAATAAATGTTAAGAGAGAACAATTGATTAGGCCATAGGACGATGATGGCGCGGAAGAAAGTAGCAATCAGCAAACCGGTGGATATTCTTGGGACTGAAGCAGAGCCTACCGTTGCCATCAGATACTGCGTTGAAAATTTAATCGCATTTAATTATGGTAATTGAGGAGGAGTGGAGGAGGGAGCTTCTGCTTTTCGATTCCGCCGATGCCTCTCCTTCCATTATCCTCCAGTCATTGAAGGCAATCAACCCCTCACCGTCTGTTTGTCTTAGTCTTCCTCTGTTTTATCTCAAGCCTCCCTAGGACTTTTTTTGCTTAACCTTAGTGAAAACAAGAGAACAGAGAATGGACTGATTGGTCTTTATTTAAACCAAAGGTGAGCTTTAAAGTCTTAAAATCTAATAGCAACGGCTCCTTGCCTCATCCTTATGAGTGTGAAATATTTTATAACCAAGTTGAATTCAGAAAACTCTCTCTTTATCTCTCTCTCACACAAACGCGCACACTCACTCTCAGCTCTGTCGATTTTAAGAATTATGGAATCATTCTAATTTATTTTAACTAAGCGGGATTTTCCAAAATAAGGGTCTACTGTTACGTTACGCGGAATAATATGGCCATCGTATATAAATTTAAATATTATAATTGTCGTGAATCAATTTATATGTTATAATTTTCAGTCATCGTGATTTGAGAATTTGATGGAGGGTACTTTGAAGATGATAACATTGCTGTAGATAAATAAATAGAACTATTTAAGTAACTTTTTCAACACACTTCTTATGCATATGAAACGGGAAGAGTTCGATGGAGTCCTGGATATGAAGCTCGTATGATTAAATAGATCCGATTATAGTAACGCCATTGGGTGTTTGGAGCTTTAATAAAGTAGATTTTTTTTTCGTTTTAATTTAGTGTGAAATTTATTTGCTTGTCGAGAAGAAATCATAGGAAGTGGATTTTTTCATTCTCGTACAAAAAATTCAAATTAATCTATTATTCGGATGGAGAACAAGATAACGGATCTGTTCAACAGGAATTATTATGAGCAAGTTTTGTAAAGGTTCTTTTAAAGTTTTTGTTTGAAGAGTTTGGGGATGCCACGTCAATTTAGGTTCGGTTAGGAAATGTTGAATTTAAAAATACTTTCACTTAAGTCACCGTTTGTCAATGACTATTATAGGTCAAAGGGCTATATTAAGCAATATGAAAACTGAATACAATTACAGCGAAACGCTTGCAAGAAAGTTTGACCCAGAGAGGAAAGCTCCGACGCGGGCGTTACTCAGCTCAGAATTACAAACACAAAGAAAGGGCCCTCCAGATAAGGAAGTGTTAAGGACTGTTTACCAAGAGCATACAGCCAGCGGGATGACTCAGCCTTACACAGTTTGAACAGCGATGAGGGTACACTATGGGCTAGTACCCGTGAGCAAATAGTAAACTAATAACACGCACACACAGCCAGTCACCCAAGGCAGATCAAATAATTTTTATTCGATGTGTATAGTTTAGAAACTAGCCTAGGACCACCCCTATACACGATGACTCACGCTTTCTCACGAATAAATATTGTGGTTATGAATTACAACGACAAATTTTGGCGAGTATTTGAAGAGCTTTATTTAGTTTATTGAATACCACTCGTAATACAATCTGCCACATCGAAAGACTACAAGTTCATTCTTACAATATATACATAAAGGAGGGAAATAAATATATAAATAATTCCATATGTGGAAGACCAAGCAGAATTTCAAGAGATCCCAGTGCTTCTCTTCCAGACGAGCCAGTAAAGACTGAAGGATAGGACTAGAACTACAGATGCTCAAGACTTGAGTGGAGAAGATTTTAAGGACTCCAGAACAATATTAATAAGAAGTCTAGGAAAGACCGCTGTTTTAGTTATCGAGTAGGATTATACTGATAGAGTTTTGCACGTATGTTAGCTTGCTTGTCCACCCCGCTCCTGTTTACTACTTGAACGCTCACCAGTCGGCACAGTTCATATTAAACTTTTAGGGATTCATATATTACTAACCCCAACGATTTTACAATATCATTTTATTCGCTCCAATGTAAACACCTCAATAATATTTACCGGGTACAGTACTCAATCCGGCCGGAGTGGGGTGACGGAGCGGGCTAACGCATGTACACAGCACCGTTAGTTGCTCAGCAATCTCATAATTTAACTTTAAGATAGAAAAGAATTACGTGTTTAAATCTCAGTGTCTGGTGGAAGTTTTTTCTCGGCATAATTCCTCCGCCCTCTCTCCAACCAGGGAAAAAAATCGTTGAACCTGAACGGCAAGGAAGGAGAGACAAAAAAAAAGTACTTTATATTTGGCGTTGAGTAACCATTTAAATAATCCGATTATTGACACGTCCTTCTTCGCTTCCTATATCTAAGTACAAATAGTACTTCATTTTCAAAAACCTTAAGATGTTATAGCTCATCCCTTAAAACCGTAAACTAACTAATAGAAGTCATAACTAACTTTCATTGCTTAACTAGTGTATCAGGAGTTTATTAGCGAAAAATTAACAAATTGGCAGATAATTATCGAATCTTTTAAGTCTTAAGTGACTCAAATTCAACAATTTTTTTAAGATATAAATATTTCCATGAAATGATGTATGGATTATATAGACTTAAGCTCAGAGATATGTATTCATATTTTATAAAGAATGTAGTTAAAGAAGAGTATCATTCTGAAGGAGAAGAAATGAATACGAAACGTTAACCTTGTTACAACGAAAGAATTTTTAATAAAAACTCAATGATTCAGCCATTGACTTTATTAAGAGCAGATGAAAATAGGGGAGCTGACTAAGGTTTGGATAAGTTACTTTTTACTTACCCTAAACTTAACCGTTTGGTCCGAGCGAATTTTAGCGATGGCATCAATCACATGACTAAAAATGGTAGTGAGGTATGATTAAAATCTAAATTTCCTGTCATGGTGGATTCAGTGGTCACGTGACTAAATGCTTATATCTGATTAACTGTTCTCAATATCCAACTTTCCTATTTTTCATCCAGTATTGCGAATTTCTCAAATAAAATAATTACAAAAAAAACACAAAAGATATAATTTTTAATTCTTAATTAATATTTATTACAATTTTCGAAACACCGTAAAAATCTTATAAAAAATTCCAAATTATAAGTTAACAAATAAAATATAAAGCAGAAATCTGTGATTAAATGATAAAAAATGAAAATGTGTTATATTTAATGATAACTCTAGGAGTGTTAAATATCCTTCCGTGAATTAGCTATTGAACATTACTTTATAGGAAAATGAATTATCAAAATCAACTGGAAGATCAATACAGAAATACGACCAACATTTCGAAAGCCTCGATGAAGGAAGGAGGTTGGATGGGAATGATGAATGACTACCATGGCCTACAAACCCCTAGGCCTACAGATAAGGTTAGCAGTGGCTAGGAGGTTAATTAGCATAAATTACCTGGAAGAGATAAAGTCAACAGGGCTGAGCTAATAACTCCTTCACATCTAAGCCCGCCAACAGGGCCTTATGTGTAGGACAGGTCCCATCCCATCATTCCATAGTGTCTTATACAATTGAATTTATATAAATGTGTATATATATATATATATATATATATATATATATATATATATATATATATACAAAATGGTATAAATATGCCAATATATTAACCCTGACCCCAATACTTTTAAAACTCGTGCTAAAATTGAACATAAAACAAAAATATTTTAATTACAAATACGAAATATTTGCCTAATGAACAGCCTTTTATTATTTTTAGCACTTAATGATCCACAGTAAATATATATATTTCTTATGAATACAGACAAAGTAATTTTCCAAAACTAAAAATTATTCAGTTTGTTGAAGTGTATTTCCTCTTGCCAAATAAGTTTTAAAAATCAACAATTTCAATATGAATTTGTTGTCCAATAAAATTTGCTTGGGGAGAATTCTCTATAATCTAATAACCAACATAGAGAAAACAAAATAATAAAAAAAAAAATCTTTTAATGTTATTCTGGTGTGAATGTGTTCATAAATCACTATAATTATTGTCCACGTGACAGATTATTATATTTCTAAATAAAAAAATAAAACAAAAAAATGTTATTATGCTAGTGCAAATACAATGGAAAAATTCTCCCACATATTTTAAATGGCTGCTAAGAGATGAAATTAATATTTTCATTTATTTGTGGGTAAAAATAGCTCTCAATAGGAAATTTATTTTTGAAATAAAATTTAGTAAAGAATAAATTTCTATTGTTTATTCAAATTTGAATGATATTGGATTTAAAATAAAACTTATTTATTTATAATGAAGAAATAGTTGAAAGTAGAAAATATAATTAAAAAGTTGGTTGTGGATCGCTGTCAGAGTGAAAAAAAAACTATTTTATGCCAACGTTTAGGCGTAAGGTTTAGGGGTTTATCAGGACTGAGGAATTGAAAAATCATTAAAAGAAAAAAAAACAACTAATAAATGATTAGTAATATTAAAAACTAGAAATTAATTATTGATGAAAATATGATAGTATTCGTTTAAACAAATTTTATGTAAAATATAGCAACTATCGTTATTACTAACCGTCGATCTGAAGAGTGCCATTGGTAAAGACGCTATGGCGATGCGTTATCTTCAGGGTGGAGCCATCCTTGGACCAAGACGTAACGTGCTGCCCACGGACCTGGCAGGGGAGGATGGCCACTGAGTGCCTAGGCAGGGTCTGGTTTGCAGGGCCTATCTCGACGATAGGAGGCGGGTTGTCTCCGGTCGATCTCACCTGGAATAAGAAAAAACCTGAAAATTTTTGGTATGAAAAAAAAACTAATCTAAATTGCTAACAAATGTGGTCCGAAGTGCTGCAACCGGAATAAAAAAGGTACAATGTGATTTGTAGAGTTAATATAAAGTTCAATCCCCCAGAATCCAGATGGGAGGGACGAACGCAGGCATAACTCAGGCAAGGGACAGTTTTATAAATCGGGGGTCCCAGAAGGGACAGCGGTAGTAAATAGGAAGGAATTGATTGAATCCAGGGAATTGGAAAAGTTGCGCTGACCCGCCGCATTTGTTCCCTCGGCGGATGGAAATGTACGGCCCGCAAGGTAGGCATATATTGGCGAGGCATTCCAGCGCTCCACTCAGCGCGAGGGTGATGGCCAAGCGGTACGTGTGCCGTCCCATCCTAGCGGCTACGTGAGGGGACCGCACAGCCTCTTCCGCCAGCTCCGCTAATGAGGACCTCAATTGTTTTTCCGCCAGTCAGGGATGGGGCGGTACGATTCAGATAAAACCACCTAACGGAGTTGGGTGGGAAGTCGCACCGAAACAACTTGATAATTTTTTCTGTATGCTATTGATCGAAGGTCTCCCAAATACATTCAACATAAAACGAGTAATTGAATTTTTTAACAATGTAAAATTACTATTATACAAAAACATTTTACAAATATAATTTTATTTTTTTATTTTCTATGTTTAATATCCTCACTACCGAAGGGTAAAGACGCAATACTTCACATATGTTTTTCTTCTAGTTGGACTGGAAGTTATTGAATTACCTAAACATGAAGGCGATCTTAAGGTTACAGGATCGATTGTAAACAGAAAGTTTCTTAGAGTAAATGATTACTGATGGCTGCCTTTTGAGAATATTACCAGCATTGACCAGTAAACGGATTAATCAGGTCATTATAAATAATAAAGTGAAAAGTCCTCAACCTCCTCAAAAATTCATTAATAAATAATCTGTCAATGCTACCCCGATACAAGAGCCATCGTACAGAGTTTAATCTCTCCTTTTGGTTACTTTTCATTACGCAGTCCAATTCGGTTATGCAAAGTTTAATCTAAAAAAATTACTACGATATTAAATGTTAAAGATCTTATTTTATTTTATTTTCAATCCTGCTCTACCTTCTAGGCAATAATGGTGTTAAGATATGCATGCCACTGCTGTGACTGGATCTGTTTACATTATGTTAAATAACTAAAAACAAAGCCTACTCTTATTTATTCTTCAATTTGGTCACCGTCCAATGTTAATGATGTTTGAATCATAAATTCTTCTGCTTGAGAGACTTGGGACTGGAATACAAAGAAGTCGTAAAAGAAAAGTCATTGGTTGTGAACTTAAGTTAGGAGTTGCAGTCAGTGAGAAACACAAATAAAAAAATATTTTACTATCTGCCAAAGTTTCAGGCCTTCACCAGAGCTATGAGGAGGTTTATAAACAGGTATATAGGGTATAAACAAAATGAAAAAAAAAAGTAAATGGTTGCTCGTTCCTTACCTCTAGATAAGCTCTGGCTGTGGCTGACCCAGCTACAGACAGAGCGGAGCAGACCAAGAAGCCCGCATCCTCCCTGAGGACGCCGTGAATGGTGAGCTGCCCCTGGGGGCTGACGTGGAGGCGGCCGTAGGAGTTGGCGGGGAACATGAGGAGCTGACTGCCCTCCCTGGCCCAATAGACAGAGGGCGGCGGTGACCCGCGGGCAGCGCACTCGAACTGGGCCACCCCGTTGAGGCCCACCGTCTGGTCCTCCGGCTTCACCGTGAATGTAGGAGGCGCTGCAAGAAGACAAGAAGGTTGTGAATGGATAGTCAATGGATATAAAACGTTAATCGTCGAAGATTGGAATTATATTGATTACTCACAGTGGACGGTGAGGGTTGCTTTTGCGGTGATGGTGCCGACGAGGTTGGTGGCGTCGCAGATGTAGACACCCTCGTCCTCTACAGCGATCCTCTCGATGCGGAGGCTCTTGTCCTCGGTGAGCCTGGCCCTGGAGATGGGCATCTTGCCGTCGGCCCGCCTCCAGAGAACTTTGGGCGGCGGGTCTCCGCCCGCGGCGCACTCCAGCTCCACGCTAGAGTCCACTAGCGCCGTCACGTCCCGAGGCTCCTTGCTCAGGAAAGGTTTGACTAAAAAGGGGAAAAAAATAATAAAAAACATTTGTAGAATGAACCTTTATTGATTTTATATACCTACTTCTGCCATAAATACTGTTACAAAAGTTGAACTTTGTATAAATCCTTGGGTATTATTTAGATAATTCTTACCTCTCAGATTATTTTCATTACATGTCAGGATAATAATCCTAATTAGTTTGTATTTTTCTTTCACTCAGTTAACAGGGAGTGGGGTGATAAAGAAAACTGAATAGCTTTGATCGCCTTACACAAAGTTGGAAAATGTAGGTCAGAGATTGTCAACACTTTGAAACCTATGGGTATCAGCCGTATGTTCGAGTACCGCACAATAAACAAATATAATGAGACCCTATCTGAATGTGACAGGCCTCGACCGGATCATCCCCGCACTGTGAGAACGGCAAATGCAGTGAGAGCAGTGGCTGCTCGAATCAGAAGAAATCCCATTCGAAAACAACAAATCATGTCTCGAAAAATGGGAATCTCAGACGAATATCATGCATAATAATAAAAACTGATCTTAGGATGGGTGAATTTCGAAGAATGCCAGGACAAAGGGTAACATCTTCCCTAAAAAAAAAAAAATAGATTGGGTAGATGCCAAGTGCTCCTTGGCCGTTACACGAATAGTCTTCATCGAAAGATTTTGTTTAGCGATGAGAATAGTTTTACAATTGAAGACAAATTTAATCGCCAAAATGTTTGTGTGCTCGCAAACAGGTCGAAAGAAGCCCAGGAAGTCTTTGGAAGAGCGGAAAGAGATCACCACCCTTCCTCAGTGATGGTTTGATTTTATGGCACCACAAAGCTCCATTTTTGTGAATAAGAAGTTAAAACAACCGCTAAAAACTATCAGGACGATATTTTGGAACCTGTTGGCAGGCCTTTAATTGATACTGTGTTTGATGGAAGTCATCGGGTTTTCCAGTAGGATTCCGCTCCAACTCAGCAATAGCTGCAAAAGAGCATTCCAGAGTTCACCTTTGCCTCGGATTGGCCCTCAGTAAGCCCTGATCACAACTAACTAGATTATCGGCTTTGGTCCGAACTGGAGAGGATGGCAAGCCACAGACTCACTCTAACTAGGAAAGCCTCAAACAATTTCTGGTAAGAGCACTTGAGCGCTTTCCTCAAGAAGTGCTACGTGCTGCTATTGACGACTGGCCAGGGAGATTAAATGCCGGTGTCAAGGCAGAAGGAGGGGGGAGTATTTTCTGTAATTTCTGTTCTACCAAAGTTTTTGAAAAATGAATTTTTCTGTTGAAATCTGTATATATTTCCTTATAAAAATATTTATGACACGAGTAGGTATATTTAAATAATGAGACCAAAATAAAAACAATAGCATTAAACATGGATATTGCAGAAAAAAGAAATTACAGGAATTACGCTGAACATTTTTTTTTTTTTTCAAATGGCAATTAGTACTTATTTTATCTTTATGATTAAGTCATTATAATAATAGTAAAACAAGAAATCGCTTATCTAATATGAAAGATAAAATATCAATCAGTGACAAGAAAATTGCCAAAACTGTGACAAGATTTATCAAAGAGTAACTTCCAAAACCACCGATTTATCTCAATATCAGACCCATTGTAACCATAACAAATATATGAATAACAGCTCTAGTACAATATAGCATAAAATGAAATCATAAATTTGATTTAACCAATTGTGAATATTGAAAAAAATAACACCAATAGAAAAACGATGGAGGCTCTTCATATAACTATATAAATAAGAACATAATAAAGACAAAGAACAGACGATCGATTTTAACATTCAACAGACAACAAATAGCAATAGATAAATATTAGATATAAAATAGGAGAAGAGAAGGCGAAAATAAATATGAATATAAATAATGCATCAGATCAAGCCTAATCTATGAAACAACGGAAGGATCCCACAACCCTTTTTATAGTTTTGAAAGTGAACCACCATATTTATTGAAATAATAATGTTCAGAAGTATATTCTAATATATACCAGTAACAATCTGTCCGTTAGAGATACATCGAGAACAACTTTGTCACTATCAATTTATACTTCGACAAGGGCGACAAACTGACGCCTATTAGTTTCGAATCAATCACAGTGTTATTTATGTCATTTTTATTCTAACGGGCTCCAGTCGACACGATTTTCGTGGTTTGATTACAGTTTCATATATAACGAACGCTCTCACGCCACAAGTCAATAATATAGATAAATCATTATACAATGAAGTTATTAACGCTTGTTAATTATCTCATTATTCAGTTTTCTATTTCGATAGATTTTTCTCAGGTCCGACAGGATTTAGAAATTACCTCAATTCGACCAGCGTCGGCGGGGGTGCCTCAAGGATCAATATTGGCTCCTTTACTCTACATTATCTATACTCACGGCATACCTACCACCGAAACATTGACTGCTACTTTCACTGACGATACAACAATTTTAACAAAAGACCATGACTCCAGACCAGTCTCACTCAATGAAAATTCAACGACAAAACTTTACATACCGAAATAAGGAAAACCAACTATTAACATGCGTACTCACTACTCTCGATTTCATCTTAAACTACACGGACATCAAAACGGACTTATGAAAGACATGCTCATCAGGAGGCGACTGAAAAGGAGTTGGATGATAGATCTCTTTTCCTGATTTAAGGATGTAAAGAGAAAAGGGAAGAGGTGCTATTCTTCATCATGCCTATCTTGCCATTTTCTACCTAACAACAAATCTGCTAATTGTCACTACCATGACAGGTGCGGATGGAGAAAGACCAAAAAAATAAATGTATAAGGTTTAACAAAAATTTGTAATAATTTTAATGTTTTTATCAATTGAATCATTTATTGTATACAGAAGCTAAGTAACAACCAACAGTTTAACAGTAGTTTTATAATTTACTTTTAATCGAAGATATATGGATATCATAAGAGGCCAAATTAGTTTTTCGGAGGAAAAATACCAGGACAACCAAAGAATTTAGGAGAAATATGTCCAGGGGAGAAATCGAAATAAATAGATAAAACACTATTTAAAATTAACTGTCCCAGGCCTAGAAATGGTATTATTTTTTTCAATTATTCATTGAGAAATATTACAAACTGTCACATCTAAGGACAATAGTAATAATGATAAAAGAGTAGTTCATTCACACTCTATGTACAATAAATGAACAGCAAAATAACAATACTAAAAGTAAATATATATAAACTAATAGAAAGTAAACTAAACCAATCAAAATGACTACCTAAATACACACATGCTTAACTATAATTTATGCGTAAATATTTAGTTTCATTTTATCATATATAATATAATAATCACTTTCCTATAAAATAAGCCAATTTTTAATTTTCGGTGTAGCTAAGTAAAGAAATGTGTCCCTGAGCTCGGATTCGATTCTGGCTATGGCAGATAATTATTTATTTTGCTATATCGGCCGACACATACAGCTTCTAAAAAGAGGATATTCTTAATTTGAGAAAAACTCTGGTGGTTTGAAGTTGATCACGAACAGACCATTCTCTTGCACAATCGTTGGCTTAGAAACCCTACTTAGCTACATAGAAACTTTATTTGTTGTTTTGGTTAAAAGGGTTAACCATCATCATAATTTTTTTTACTATGTCAATCTCTAATGTTGTTTTTTTTTAATTAGTGAAAACATCACTTAAAGAATTTTAAAAATTAATTAAAGGTTTTCGATAAATTGTATCGAAATATTTGTTTCTTTCCCCATCATAATTTAAGTGACATTACTATTGTACAAACGTTTGGAATTATATTTTTTAGGTTTACAATCATTAGCAGTAACGAATGATAATTTATAAAACTTATTTGCAATAAGGTAAAATAGAAGAACCATGGTTGATATCATTACTTAGAAATTATAATAACTTCTTTATTTACGATTTCTAGAAAACTCATGCTGTTTAGTAGAGCTTTCCAAATCAGTCGCTTCATAAGGTCTTGCTCTCGCCATGAATGAAATTTTGAAAAGTTTAAAGTTCCTCCCTTTTAAGATACTTTTTTACTTTATTTCTACCATATATTTTATATACTTTTTTTTTTTATATCTGCAGGTAGGTGTCAATGGTCATAAACAGAACCAAAAGGCACAAGATATTTTTCAAACTAAGTTAAGAAGAGTTTTGTTTCGAACAAGTCAGGCTAAGAAGGGATGAAACCTTATCACTAATGCAGTACGGTCCTGTGGCTTACAGAGATAAATGGAACTAGCCACCGTTGCATCCCCTCTTCCCCTTTTCCCGATTGATTTATGAAGATGTTTTCCATGAGATGAATGATCAGCCCTGGGTGTCCACAGGGGAATACGGGAGCGACCCACAGAGATGAGAGTCAGGTGAGTAGGTTCGAAAGGAGTCAACTATTTCGTATTCAGGGCTAGTCCTTCCACTAACTGGGGGTGTGGTTGTTTGCTACTGCCGAACAATTCTCGGTTCTTAGGGGGTCCGCAACTCCCTCTCTCCCTCTCTCTCTCTCTCTCTCTTTCCCGAGAGAATTCGATAAACCCCGCCTTCAAAGGACTAACATCATCAAACAATTCGATTTAAACTATTCCAGAGGTAATTCTCGTTGAATGTAACCATTGCCCATCTTTTCTAAAAAACAGTTCGTTTCAACCTCATTACTCCTTAATATCTGAAGTTCAATATTTATTAGTATTCCTCCTTTATTTTTATTATTTTTTTTTAAAATATCGTAGAAATATCACAAGTGAACCTTTTGTTTAATCATAGTGTCTTATTGTGTGCAGTAGGTGTTTGTCAAAAAATAAAATGACAAAAACTGTCAACACGACACAACCAACTCTGAAATCTGGAATACAGATCCTCGACGTTTCAGACTACTCCAACACTTCCTTGAAAAACGCTCTGGCCTAATCAATTACAAAAGACTCGTATACATGAGTATAATAAAACCTATGTGGACTTACGGAGTTGAGATATGGAGTTCCACCAAACCATCAAATTCCTATCGTATCCAATCATTAATATCCAAAATCCTTCATAAAATCCTCAATGCTCCTTACTTTGTTACAAATAAAATCATCCATAATGACACTATGTTTCAGATTTGGCCTAATCCAGATTCCTATGCTTCCATAATAAATTATATAACCATCCCAACCTCTTGTTTCTAGCCTTGTCTCCCCTTCCATTCCTGATAGCCCTCCAAGTCGTCTAGAAAGAAGATGATTTCCTAATGTCGACATATCATTAGAGTTCTACGAGCGATTAGTTTATCGACAAGTGTTTTCATTTCATTATATCCATTTATACAACATTTACTAGATGTATTTTTTTATACCGTTGTAAATATAATGAATAAATAAAAATTCTTGTGTAGTTTACAAAGCACCATGACGCTCCCAGAGTAGAATTAGGGTTTTTTATTTCAATATAAAGGATAAGACATCTTCTTCCCAGAATTAAGAAAGTAAGGAAAGACCAGAAAAAGGTATTTTTTGTCCATTGCCCTTCCTCATGCCTAAAATGCCATTATCAAATTCCGCAACACATCTGCTGACTATCACAATCATGACAGGTGGGAAGAAAATTTAAAGAGAAAAATAATGTAATGTTAGTATATGGCGAATAATAAACAATTAGTAATTAACCTCAAAATCATGTTATTATAATAGAGCATTCAATCAACGAACCATTATCCTGTTATAACAGAAATAGTTAATGCATAAGGTGAAGTAAGGGACTAAGTAAGAGAAGAAAATAAAAACATTGCCCTCTCATTGTGGTATCCTGGGTAACGAGAGAGCCGATGCTCCTTCCAATGCCGCTCGGCATTAGGAAACTCCACAAACCATAATAATTGAGGCCATCACTCGAGAAGATTAGACACATAAACTTGCCTTATCCTTTCAAAATAAATGGGAAATGAGTTCGGCAAAACTTAAAGATATTAAAAAGATATGTATAAAATGTAATACATAAGACCGAAAGTCTAGACGAGAAGTGATACTAAGTCGCCTAAGAATCGGACACTGTGAGTTTTCCCATGGATACCTCCTACGAGTATTAGAAGCACCAACTCGCACACATTGCCAAGTACCCAGAACAGTGAAGTATTTATTGTTAGAGTGTAGTAGGTACACTGATCTAAAGGAAAATCTACAAATGAGAATGGAAATGAAAGAAATTCTGCAAGATGAGAAAAAATAAATAGAAAACTGTTAAAACATATCGATTTTTATCATAAAATATAAAATGGAAATATTAAGCCTTTAGGATTAGAGGGTAAATAAATAACTAGAGTATTCAATAAAATATAATACACTAACAGATATACTTGCAATTGTTTAATAATTTGTAAGTTTGATATATTAACATCCTGTCAAAAACCACAGGACTCAATATAAGGTGCATCTAGTGACTCCGTGACTATCGTAAGGTATGACGCCCCCTCCAACACGCCAGTGACTTCCAATATCTCAAATGGAGGCCATTGAGGGAGTGTGTAAGACCTTCCAATGGAACTCTTTCAATAGGGCGGTGAATAATAGCCAAAGGAGAGGCACACCTGCTGCCTCCCAACCCGATCCTCCCATTTGCCCTCTTATATTCTTATTCGGATCCTCTCGGCTGATTTATAATCGGCTTCGGGGAGCAGATTTCCACCGATTTCCCATTGCCGGTGCTTTTCCCTTATATAGGGGAAAATGTGGGCGGAAGATTGTGATCTATGTAAGACCATAATATCTTATTGGGCTGTTGTTCGGATCAAATCGGTCGTTGTGTCCCGAGGATGGCTCTGAGTCCTGAGGCAAAATATCCATGGGTGCTATAAACCTGAAGGATCGAAAAAACTCATATTTGTTTTTATGTTTCCGGGAATGGTCATGAAGATGTATCGAATTATTTTGTTGAGAAATCTGGCTGACTTGAGGATACAGTTTAATTATACCGTATAATATTATAGGTTAGCTTACGAGTTGTCTTAGGCGATTAACAACTTAATTATTATACCCTTGAGCTACAGTGTTATTTTTATTTTATCTTCACGATAGTACAAATTCACACTGCATTTGGAGGTTGTTACAATATTATACAAACATATATATATGCAGTTATATTCAATATATATTTTTATAAATAATACTATAGATAATTAATATATAATTAATACTTTTTATGTGTTGCATTAATTCTTATATTTTATAGTGCAATTGTGTTTCTTTTAAAAGCTTTATGATACTTTCTACTAACTCTTTCAATGCTAATTCTCTACAACGGGATATTTTGTTTTTTACAAAGGCTTGATGCAGTAATGTACAATCTTCTATTATGTGATTTATGGTTTTGTAATTAAATGACCATGAATCAGGTTAGTCTGACCATACCACTACTTTGTCACTACCACTTCTTCTCTTTTGTTTTCTCTTCCAGCATTTACCCACTGTTTTGTATTTTTTAAAATATTTCTAAGCTTATTAGTCAGCGGAATTTCATTCCAAATGGACTCCTAATTTTTCCGTACTCTTAACCTCCGTTTTTTCATATCATGGGATATTTATTGACCAGTTTCTGTAAGCAGTTCTTTATTGGTATAAGTTCTCCACATGTAGTAGTACTCTGATCCCGGATCGCTCCGGTTATCGTGCGGAGGATTTTTCTCTTAAATCTTTCAACAGTTTTTTCTATGGTGCTGGTTAGTGTCCAGGTCTCACAGCCATATATTAGTACTGACTTTGTCATAGCATTGTACACCCGTAATTCGAGATTTCTTGAGATTTTTTAGGATGGCAATACCATTGAAAGGGAGAAGAAAGCTCTGTTTGCACTAGTTATACGCTGGTCTATTTCTGCCTGTTGGTTATTCATTGAGGTTATTGTGGAGCCGAGGTATTTGAATTTTAATCGTCTCGGGTATGATTTTCTTTCTACGCAGATATTGTTATTGGGGTGGAATTTTTGGCTTATTATCAAATATTTTGTTTTGTCTTCATTTTTGGCCGATTTTTATATTATTTAGTTTTATTTGATTTAAAAAAAATACTATAACTTTTTTTGAGACATAATAGTTATCTACTTCTGTTTTATTTCCCTCGGTTTATTTCATATATGTGTTTTTATTGTTTATCATTACGTTTATTGTTTAATTTATTTTTTTCATTAATTAATTTATTTTTTAAGTTCATATATTTATTAATTTCATTTTTGTAACTTACTACAAGCTGAATATTTTTATAACAGTATTATTTTATTCATAGGACCCTAAAGACCTAGATGCTTTCCTATTTGTTTTCTAGTACAATGAAATGACTAAATAAGAAACTTCTCTGATCAAATTCAACATTAGTATCACTTTACTAGTTCGGAAATAAATTGTCACCAAATGTATTCCGGGAAGACGTTCAACAGCAGAAGATATTAACCGCAAAGCTCGAGAGAAGAGACAGAGAGGATTAGGCAGTAGAAGTTGTGGGACATTGAGGGATCTACAGCTGTGGAGATTAGCCTTAGATAAATGCGGGGAGGGTTTTAGGGGATGAGGAGGCCTGCAATCTGGGAGGATCAAAAGTTTATATATGTCCTCCTCTGTCAGTTGTCTTCGTTAATTGCTCTCTTATCTCCAAGGCTGTAACTCAACAACTTGGGCGACACACCCAGCCAATTGGTGACGCCTCAGTCGGCCACCTCATGAGTGTCGGTGAGAACAGTTGTAAGGGAAGCACTTTCTCTCGAACTGGGAGCTTCATTAAGAGCTCAGAAAAGAAGGAGTAAAAAAAAAAAAAGATTAAGAATATAAAAGCTTTATTACTAATGGGTTGTCTGGAAGTAAGGGGAGGTTTATGGTTTTAAAATAAAATAAATGAAACTGTTACTAGAAAAAATACGCTCCATTACTCTCGATGGTTTTCTCTCAACGTGCTAGAATATCGCCTTTCAAAAAAATGGCAGTCGGCAGGCGAGAGATCTGGGGAGGAGAGCGGGTGAGGTTTGTTTATATTTGGGTAAAGTAGTGTAGCGCAAACTTCATAACGAAGATTCTAAGGCGGTTGTTTAACGCATGAGGAACACAAGTTTCAAACATTTTTATCTTTACAATTGCGTTTAGACGGTTAGCGATGGTCAATTTCCCAACTGAAAAGTTCTGCACAAGTTCTCGAACAGTTGTTCTGAGATTTTCTTCGGCCAAACCTCGATGCACATCCTCATCAAGAAAATAAGTCCTTCTACGTCCATCCTCGTCTTCAAGGCTGAATCCTCCCTCTCATTTTTTTTTTAAACTATCGTTAAATACGAAAGAATAATCACTCAAACGAAAACAGGGTGTTATAGATAGAGTTAATACAATAAAAACATAAAATCATTCATTATTCGACGAATAACTATTTAGAACATTTTTGTGAATTTCATTCTTAATAATCGATGAAAACACATGAAATGTATTAAAATGACACAAACCCTTTTATATAACAAAGATCGATCAAAGTTCTTAAGGTTATAAAATGTCATTTAATGATTTTTTTCATTAAAACAATTATCTGCATATTTTGTCTTGTTTTGAAAAGGTTCTAACTGCATTGATTATAATTTTGTTAAACAGAACTTCAAAGTTTCAATTTACTGTAGTATGGATATTTTAGTACTTAGACTAACAATTTCGTTCGTGCAATACATTAAAGACGTGAACTTGATTTTGCATTAGTCAATGACTTAAAGTTAAAAAAATAAAGTTATTTACTTCAGAAGAAATACTCTACTCTTAAATAATTTCCCATTAGTTATAATTAAAGAAAAAAAAGTACAGAAATACGTTGTTTTTTTTTTACAGAAACAACATCAGAGTAAAAATACAAAACAAAATTCTAATCATCTAATGATAGGTACATGCATAGGTAAAAACATAATGAATTATGCAAAATTGGTTTGTTAACATAATATATTTTTTTAGAAATTTCGTCTTCTAGAATTTTAGTATATTTTCTTTTCCATGGATTTTCTAAAAATTATGAGAATATCACATCGTTTCTGAAATAACCGCATCAAATATGCTAAACACCAAGAAACAATCATTACTAACAACATAAATGACATAAATTCATGTATAACAGTTATTATATTCTCAAACCAATTACTTTCAAAAGTTGTCTGTAGTTAGAACCGTGTCATACTGATAGTTTTTTTATTTTTCAACTGATGGGACTAAAACTTTGTTCTGAGTGATTTCTGACTGAAAACTCAATTTACCCAATTTTTTTAGTTAGAAACTTTTCAAACCAAGGCCACGATATATTTTTAGAATAGAATTTTCAGTAGGTAAAAATAGATAGAAAATATACGATTTTTTTTTTCCGTAATTGTACTCGTCATTAAAATGAAAAAAAAAAATCGACAATAACCAAGGTTTTATTTTTTCCACAGCCTCCTTGAGCAGAGAAACAGAGAAGAGAACGGAAGTTGTCAAGAGCGCACTCGAGAGATCCCTGGCGACCAGATAGACTAACTGCTACGATGGGCACTTCCTGCTCAATCATAGATTAGATGCCCCCTATCTCGTCCTTTCATCGGATACGAGGTGCCTCTTGGTTCAGTATCTCGCCGATAGGTTTTAATATCAATGAGAATTTACTAATCATCAGGCGATTCGGATTGTATCTCAATCATATTAGGTTGCGAAATAAGTCCTTTCGGTTTTTCAGGGTGAAATAAAATTAGTGCATTACAGGTATACAACTTATTATAATCTGAAATATATCTTTTCACTGACTGCATAATGACACGTTCACAGAAAGTGTATGGTTTATTTTTAAAAAAACTGATAAAGAGCTTTTTAATGTCCTGTTAGTTTTAGAATTGCTTTCGATTCGTAGATTTCTACAGATAGCAAAATAAGAGGTAGTCGCTTGGTGATAGGTCCGAAGTAATTTAAGCAGTGCCTAATAATTTACTTATTTTAGATAGGAATGAATGTGTTAAGAAGATTTTATTTATTAGTTATACATATTCCTGCCTTACAATAAATTTGCCATCTACCTCGGTATTCAGCAAATATGATATTAAGGAGAATAAATGATAGCATAAAAAAAAAAAAAAGAATAGTAATACCAAAAAAAGACAAAAACAAATTAGTAAAATAACACATACAAAAAAAAGATAGTACTGCAAGTAGCTGCCAATGCAATAAGTCTCATGGCCAGCGCCTCAGCAGTCTTCTGGGCGGATTATATGGATTTGTGGCAGTAGATAGAGTTTGAGTAAGTAGATTGGAATTTAGAGTCAGTCTGTCATGAAAATTATTACAGCGATCTATGGCAGTTGCCGTAATGAAAGGAGTGTTAAGGTCAGTGTGTAACGTAAGGTTTGAAACATAAAAGATTGTAGGTGACTGGAACGACTGGATGACTTTTATATTTGATTTGTTTGCTGTTCCCCATAGTTGGATTCCATATGTCCAAAGTGTTTTAATGAGGGCTTTGTAAATAGTTAATTTATTAGTCACAGATAATTTAGAACGTCTGTCAAGTAGTCTAGAAAGAAGTCCGTATCGCTAATTAAGTTCTTTTCTTTTTAGTTTTATGTGGTATATCCATGTCAGTCGTTT